CATTTTCTCATTATGCCTAGAGCTGCTAGAGGCTTCCTTCTTCTCTCTCTTGACTCAGTTTCTGCCATCTGGCCCCTAGCCTTGCCATCACCTGTGGAACTGACGCTTGCTTTCTGTTTTTCAGATTGGAGTGGTTTCCATCTTCCTGCGTGGGCCCCGATTTACACAAAAGGTCTGAGCATTCTTATTTTAATTTGATAGCTATTGCCGAGTTACCCGCCAAGCTGCCCGCACCTATTTAGTTAGAACAATAGGAGTGTCTGTTTACCCACAGCTTTGAAGGGTTTGTCTTGCCTATCTGATAGGCGAATTTAATAGTCATTTCCATTTGTTTAATTAAAGGTCAAATTCTCATCTTTGATGTGTTTATTGGCTATTTGCATTTCTTTTCTGTAAACAATCCATTCATATCCTTTATCCATTTTTCTATCAAATTATCTGTATTTTTCTTGTTGCTTTACAGCATATTAAATTAATCCTTTGTAATGTATGAGCTGGATATCTCTTCCTTGTCTTTGTTTATACCATCCTTTGTTATGCCGAAGTTATAAGTTTTGATGTTTTTAATTATAAAAAGCACATACACTTTGGGAGGCGGAGGCAGGTGGATCACCTGAGGTCAGGAGTTTGAGACCAACCTGGCCAACATGGTGAAACCCCATCTCTACTAAAAATACAAAAATTAGCCGGGCATGGTGGTGTACACCTGTAATCCCAGCTACTCGGAAGGCTGAGGCAGGAGAATTGCTTGAACTCGGGAGGCGGAGCTTGCAGTGAGCTGAGATCGCGCCACTGCACTCCAACCTGGGCGACAGAGCGAGACTCCATCTCAAAAAAAAAAAAAAAGTGCATAACTCCCCATTGAATTAGCAAAAAGAAAATGCATTGGCTCATGTAATGGAACAACTCAGAAGTAAGGTTCCAGGTACAGGTGGATCTAGGGGCTCAAAGAAAGCCACCGAGCCACTGTTTCAGTCCTGCTCTTCTTTATGATAACGTCATTCCAGGGCTCAATAAGATAGCAACATGGCTCCCAGTAGCTCTCTTTATGCGTCAATATAAGTAACAGAATCTTGTCTAAAAGTAGCTTACTTATAAAGTTCTTTTTTTTCTTTTTAACTCTGAGAGTGATTTAGTAACTCCAAATGTAAGCACTCTGAGTATATATGTACTTTTTCTTTTTTGTGAAATAATGGCTGCCCTAGCTCTAAGCTTGTGACATTCACCCAACAGCATCCAATACAGGTAGGAAGGGAAGACTCTTGTCAAGAACATCTCCTTTACCAGATGGGGCAAATCCCCCCCAGATCCCTCCATCTCCCCACTCCACACCCCACCAGATGCTCCCTCAGATTCCACTGGCTGGACTGGGTCATGTGACTCTGCCCTCTCTGCAAAGAAGGATGGGAAAGCAAGGAACTGGTGCTCTCAGTCGCTGGACTGGGGGAATACGGAGCGGGGAGCTATTGGGTGGACATCCAGCAGCGCCTGTTCCAGGAAGCATCTCTCCTGGTCACTCCAGCTCCAGAACCAGGGCTCACTCTGCTTGGATTAACTCATGTCACGTGCTCATCCTGAACCACTTCCTGGTCAGGGGGATTTACCAGCTGATTGGCCAGACCCGGTCACATGCTCCACCCTTAGATCCCAACATGCAGCTCCTCCTGACCCCAGTGATGGGCAATGGGAGAGTGACTGCTTAATTACTAGGGTCTGGTTACCAGAAGATGGGAAAATGGCTGCCAGGAACTCAAATTAGGAAATTTACACTAGAGAAGCCATGTGAACGTAGAATAGTCATTATTGATGATCATGTCAATTTCTGGGAGTTAATTTCTGGCCAATGCTAGACAAACCCTAGCTTTCATCATTCTCTCATCCCTCCTAAAAAGGGACTTATAAATGAGCTATTTTCCTTCTTCTCTGGACTGCCCATGCCTCCCCACCCTGCAGCCATGCCAGTAATCACCCATTTGGGAACGATCGTTATTTAAGTGGAACCCAGGTTTCCCTGGCCTGACCATTGTCTTACTGGACAAGTTGAGTGCCCAGTAAACAACACAGTCGCTTAAAAGTTCTTGCTTCCCACCTCTAGAGGTGTGGACGCCATTGTGAAGGTTAATGATGATTCCTCTACTTCTCTTCAGATTTCCATTCCTGCCATCCTAAATGGAAGCCATCCAATCTCGCTTTATGCTCCCCACGTACCCATTATCGGCTTATGAAGAATCAGAGCTGCACAAAGGCTCAAAATTGCTACGTTCTAGAATAGACTCAGCTCTGAAGCAATTTGAATGTTCACAGGTTTAAAATGACTTGGCAGTCTGTCTATAACATGTCCTGTGGCCTGAAAGGGAATGAAAACTCATCAGCCTGCATTTGTTACTGATTAATTGATCTGCTGATGGAGCTCAGTTAATCTTTGCAGCCAAATGGAGAGACCGGCTCAGACCTGAGCAATCAAAACAGCTGTGAAGAATCCTGCCTAGACCACAGTCCTGCTCCATCTCAGGGTCCTAGGGAGAAATTATCACGGGGAAAAGGAAAGGGGTTTTAACCATAAATGCAGGGAATATGCAGAGAGGCCTGGGCAGAGGTTGGCAAGGCTGAAGACTTCACTGCGTGGGCAGTTTGTGACTTTCCCTAACCCCCTTCCTGGGCTAAATACAGGGGAGCAAAATGAAAAATGACATTGGGGTTCAGAGACCAGGGGACACCCTGCAAGGTGATTGTCTGCCATTTCCTGCGGCCATAGATTTACACACAGCAGAGGGTGCACATTTATGGTCAGGACAAATAAACACAAGGGAGGGGGCCGGGGAAAGGATGCTGAATTTGTCTCTTCTCAGCAAGAGGTTCTCTGTGAGTCCTTTCCAGCCAAGAGACTCAAAATTCACCATCCCTGGGCTAACCACAGATTACAACTGTGCCTAATGCAACAAAAAGCCAGGTATGGAGAATGGATGCCAATTACCTGGAGCTTCATATTAAATGGGTTGTGATGGATTAAATATTTAAGTTCAGGCATTTTCAAAGTTTCCAATGAAATTTCATTTAGCAGAAAGCTTCTTTTTACTCTTTGAGAAGAAAATACAGTTTCATGCAATACATTTTTTTTTTGTTTAAAAATCTAACTTGGAGCAACACCCACACAGGTCAAGGACAAGTTGAGAAGGCTGTTCATTGCAGCATTGTTTATGTCGGAGAAACAGGGGAAGAATTTGCATCCCCTGGGGTAGATGAGGTGCTGCTGCAGTAACAAACAACGAAATCCCAGGGACCTGAACAGCCAAGGTTGCTTCTTGCTCATGCTGCCTGTGTGTCTCAGGGAAGCTGAGCTTCTGCTCTACGTCATCTCCACTCAGGGATCTAGTGGAGGGCAGCTCCTTCCTCATGCTCCTGTGACAGCCCAGGCAGGACAGAGGGCCCCTGGACAGAGGGTCTCTTAAGCTTCTGCCCAGAAGTGACACACGGGACTTGTGCTCCCGTTCCATTGGTCAATGTCAGTCCCGTGGCCATGACTATCTTCAGTGCAGGGCAGAGAAGGACAGTTGCACCATCTAGGTCTAGAGAACTAGAACTAGTTCACAAATGTACTCATGACCACTCACAGCCTAAGTGTTCAGCCTCAGGGGAAAGGGGATATGAACTGGAAGGTTCACCCTTAGACATAGACGCATACAGACCACTGCGGTATAAGGGAAGAGGTATCTGTATGCAGCAAGGTGGACAGGTCTCTAGTGCATATGGTTTGGGGGGAAAAGCAAGATGCTAGACCATATGTGATGTGAGAAGCTGTTTATAGAAACATGTGTGCACCAAAATACGGTCTAGTTTGTTTTCTGTTGTTTTTTGCTGTTTTTGTTGTTGTTGTTGTTGCTTGTTTGGGTTTTTTTGGGACGGAGTCTCCCTGTCCCCAGAGTGGAGTGCAGTGGCGCGATCTCAGCTCACTGCAACCTCCGCCTCCCGGGTTCAAGCAATTCTCCTGCCTCAGCCTCCCGAGTAGCTGGGACAACAGGCATGCACCACCACGCCCAGCTAATGTTTTTATTTTTTGTAGAGACAGGGTTTCACCATGTTGGCCAGGATGGTCTTGATCTCTTGACCTCATGATCTGCCCGCCTCGGCCTCCCAAAGTGCTGGGATTACAGGCATGAGTCACCACGCACAGCCAATATGATCTAGTTTCTATGGAAGTCATAACTGTAGTACTTTGGAATCATGTCCAGAAGCTGATACACTGCTATCAACACAGTGGTGACCCTTGGGAGGGGTCAGGCCCAGGCTGGGGAGATGGTCATTAGGACTGGAGAGGAGTAGCTGCTGCAGCAGAGAGGGCTTGTGTGCAGCCCCAGCCCCCTGCCCCTTCTACCCCCAACCTCTCCCTGTCTGGCACCTGTTCTGTGCCAAGGACACTGGAACCTGCAACCTCCGTTAGAAAAAGCTTCCTAAAACGTTGGTGCCTGAACTGGCTCTCCTAACTCAAGGGGCCCACAAGCAACAGGGTAGGTGCTCCTGGACAAATGAATGCAAGCAACTGAGGACTGTACTCAGAGCAGAGTCCATGGCACAGTTTTGACTTGTTTTAATTTGATTTCAGACAGATTGAAAATGATCCTAACAAAGTCTCAGAAGAGTAGGAAACATGCTGACCTAGAGATGCTGATGGAATGCAACTCTTTCTATTAAGCCCAAGGAGTTTTTCCTTAAGCTTGACTGGAAAAACATTGTAGAAATTCGGGACTTAAAGAGAAACAACCACTATAATTGTATAATTGTAGTCTTACTTCTTCCACTGGTTCTTTAATAAAATATTTTGGAAACTGACCCCATTTCTTTCTGCTACATATTTGGATTCTGGGAAGAGGGAGGAGAGCAAGCTGACATTGATGCAGGCACGCTGGGAAGGAAAGTGCATGGTCCCTTTAAATAATACGGAAGTGGGGAAGGAAGTACTCGGTAGAGGAGGGCGTGGTCCCTGGCTAGGCTCCACCCCCACAGACCTAGGTGAGGACAGGCATTTCCTGCCCAAATGTTGCATTTTCCAAGACCACCCTGGCCTGTCACGCCCCCATCCTGGGCCTTTAAAACCCCGAGACCCTAGTGGGCAGACACACAGGCAGCCAGACATCACGAGGAGCACATCAGAGGAAGAAAACCAAGCAGCTGGTCATTGAGAGGACGTCCAGAGGAGCACACCAGCAGAAAAGCATACCAACAGGCACCCAGGCTGGCAAGCCATTGACTGACAGGGTGAGGCAGAGTTTGGCTGGGCAGCTGGAGGAGGGAGGAGAGCCGGGGTCCCTGAGCAGCCCAACTCCAGGGGAAGATCATCTCCTTTCTGGCTTCCCTATCGGCTGAGAGCTACTGCCACTCAGTAAAACTTGACACTCATTCTCCGAGCCTGTGTGTGATCGAATTCTTCAGGTACCCCAAGGCAAGAACCTGGGATACAAGAAAACCCTCTGTCCTTGTGACAAGGTAAAAAAGGTAATTGCGCTGGTTAACAGAAGCCGCCTATAGACAGCAAACTAACACAGCCTTCTAACTACATGCCCACTGGCACTTCGGGAGCTGTAAACATTCAACTCCAGACATACCGTGGGTGGGAGCCGAGCCCCAAAACCTGCCCATCTATATGCTCCCTTAGAGAGGTTTGAGCAGCAGGGCACTGAAGAAGCGAGCCACACTCGTCCACTGCACACCCTGTGAGGAGGACAAGGGAACCTTTCCCGTTTCATCATGACCTGCAGTAAATTCCTTTTCCCTTTCCCACCATCCCGTAATTTTACATCATGTGACATCGTCACTTGCCTCAGACTGGACCAATGACCCCTTGTGTGGCCTCCATCAGCCACGGTGCCTTTGCTTTGGCTGACACTGGGTCCTTAGAGGGCAGTTCACCCTGCCCTGGGTCTGGGGTGGGCTGTCAGGGGAAACAAGGTCTTCACAGCACTCCTAAGCTGCCTGGGCATCAACCTTCTGCATTCTTCAGATTTAGCACCCAAGGAATGGCCCAGACACCAGTGACCAATGATCACACAAGCCAACAGCAGGAGGGAAAATGATCCTTTCACAGAAGCAAGCCTGTCAGTGGGACAGGGCTGGCCCCTGACCTCAGGACGCTGGGGCTTTTGCTGTGTGTCATGGGCAAGAGGCGCCCTCTGCGTGCCTGGTTCCCTCCTCTGGAAAGTAGGAGAGTGACAGTACCCACCCCGTGGGGTGGATGAGTGACTTCCCTGGAGCACATGAGTATCCAGCCAGCAGAGCCCTGTGTGAGAAAGTGCCCTGTGCGTGTGTGGCCTGGAAACCCCCAAGTTGTCTAGTCTCCTGTGGGTTATGGACCCTCCAGAGGCCCCTAAGGCAGTCATGCTTCTTACTTTACAGACTGGGGAGAGGTCAGGGGCGGGCCTTGTCAAGGTCACACAGCTGGAGAGCGGGCAGCTGGATTTCAACCCAAGTCCCTGACCCAGTTCTGCAGCCCTTGATTTTAACCAAACACACATCCTGCCTGTCATACCATCACTCGCCAAGAAATAGCAGAGTCAGGTGGGGCCAGTTGGACACCCTCTGATCTATTTATTTTTCAGCATCTACTTCATAAACCCTTGTACGTCCACCTGAATTTTCCCTGTCACCCTTAACCTCATCGTCCAATTATATGAAATGTTTCAACTGAGTAGCCCCTTGTTGCAGGAGTCTCATCTCTGGCTGACATCTGGTGCTGTGTATCTTGGTCCTGACTGACAAAGGCAGCAAGTTCTTATGTCAGCCTCATTTTCTCCAAAGGGAAAGTAGCTCTGAGACCAGATGGGGCATCCATCCAGTGAACCCAGGAGCTCCAGGAGCTGCTGAGCAGGCAAAGAAAGGCTGATTAAAAATACACCAAGGCAGAAACTCTGGGCAAGAATTGGTTTCTTCAGAAAGAAGATTGGGAGGTGCTAAAATTTAAAAAAATATATAGTTTCATGTAACTCTAGTTTTGGCTTTTTGGACATCCTGAGGTTCATGTGTCGTATTTCCCTTGGCATTTGGGACTCCAAGGGATGGTCTGTTTTGCTTGGTTTCCCAACTGACCTCTCATGGATTCATTCATTTGTTCAAGAGGTTACTGAGTGTCTGTAATGTGCCAGGCATTGTTCACAGCTCAGTCTAAAGCAGGGGGTCCAAAACCAAGGTGCTGATGCTAAGGAGCTCATGCTCTGGTCAAGGACAATCAATAAAGACAAAATGTATCTCGTGTGTGCCAAGAGGAGGCTGATGCCAAGAGAGAAAGTGAATCCAGGAAGAGGGGTCGGGGTGCCAGGGAGGTTCCCTGAGGACACTGGCATGGAGTAGAAACATGAAGGCCTTGAGAGGGAGAGACTGACTGGCTAATATCTGGGAGAAAGGCAGAGAGAACAGCAAGTGCCAAGGCCCTGAGGCAGGAGCATGTTCAAGCAGAAGAGAGGGACCAGTGTGGCCACAGCAGAGTGGAGGAAGATTCGTAGACAGAGAAGCCAGAGAGGCAAGGAGGCCAGATCCCTGACAAAGACTCATGGGCTGCTGTGAGGATCTGGGTTTTATCCGTGCAAGGCAGGAGCAGAGGAATGACATGATCAGACTTGTGGTTAAAAGGACCACTGTGATCATTTTGCTAGGGCAAGGGGCAAGGGGCCGTGGTGAGGGTAAATGCCGACCCAGGAGCCAGTGAGGACAGAGTCTCCCCAGCAGCTGGGACCACAATGGTAGAAGTGGGCTGGGAGAACTAGGGGAAGCTGGGGATATTTTTAAGGTCGAGCCAACAGTCTTTGTCACGTGTATTGGGCATGGTACATGTGAAAAACAAGACAACACGCGTCTCAGGATGGTGTCAAGGTTGTTGCCGTGAGCAAATTGAACACTGAGCTGTGAGAACCAGGCACGAGTTGATCAAGAAACGTACAGGTTTACAAAGAATTGGTTTTGTGCTGGAAAATGTAAAGGTAGACATCTTCTTCTGCTTTGTGTTTCTTTAAAAAAAAAAAAATTCAGAGCACATTATTTTTGTCAGATGGACACGTTGTCCTGTGAGGATGCCAAATTGTCATCTGTCATTTAAAACAACACAAAAAAGAATATGAGATCTCCTTTAACATCATCAGATTTTTTTTCAGCTATTCATTCCTGGGAAAAAAGAAACAAAAACAAAACAAAACTGGTGCCAGAGAATCAGCTAGAACAATTTGGGAGAAGGGATACAAATAGGCCAGGAATTGGCTTGCCTAATAGACTTCAACTTGAATTAGATGTAAGACAGATGAGTCGAATCAGGCTGTTATGCAGCAGGAAGAATTGCAGTGTCAGATGGAGCAATAAAGGTGCAGAAATTGAGCAGAAACACATGTTCTGCAGATATTAGCTGTTAGGTATGAGCCTTTCTCTTGTTGATGCTCTCAGTATGAAATCCAATATTATCCCAGGGAAAGGAAACAAGGCCACTAACTGTCAGATGGCGAGGTATATTACACTTCATCAAATCTCCCTGGTAACTTGACACGTGCTTGTACCACTCAGGAAGGCAAGATAAATTGTATCTCCGCTTTTCCTCATGCGGCGAGTTTAAAAGGAGATGCCAGCATTGCTGTGCTGGCCACAGCATGTGTGGTCATTTGATAGGGGGCACGTCATCGGCACAATGTTCTATATCATTAAAAAAACAAAAAACCCACAGGCTGGGTGCCGTGGCTCACACCTGTAATCCCAGCACTTTGGGAGGCCAAGGCAGGTGGATCACCTGAGGTCAGAAGTTCGAGACCAGCCCTAGCCAACGTGATGAAACCCTGTCTTTACTAAAAATACAAAAAATTAGCCGGGTATGGTGGCATGTGCCTGTAATCCAAGCTACTTGGGAGGCTGAGGCAGGAAAATTGCTTGAACCGAGGAGGTGGAGGTTTCAGTGAGCCGAGATTTTGCCACAGCACTCCAGCCTGGGTGACAGAGCAAGACTGTCTCAAACAAACAAACAAACAAACAAAAAAACAACAGCTGGGCATGGTGGCTCAAGCCTGTAATCCCAGCACTTTGGGAGGCAGAGGTGGGCAGATTGCGTGAGCTCAGGAGTTCGAGACCATCCTGGGAAACATGATGAAACTCTGTCTCTACAAAAAACCCACAAACCTTAGCTTGGCATGGTGGCACACGCCTGTAGTCCCAGCTACTAGGGAGGGTGAGGTGGGAGGATCACTTAAGCCTGGGAGGTGGAGGCTGCAGTAAGCCGAGATCACACCACTGCACTCCAACCTGGATGACAGAGCAAGACCCTGTCTAAACAAAATCCAAAAACCTCCCACACAACAGCTGATAAAACCAATAAAACCATGAATTGGGACCCCCCTCCCACTCCAGGAGACAGTCCTGGCAGAGGACTAGGTCAAATGTTGAACATTTTGTTCCTGCTGCATTAGGTAGCTGGGCGTGGCAGAGCCTGGGGGAGTTGGCACCGTTCTCTGCTGCTCCCCAAGCGTGACCAGTGATGCCAGGTGAGGCTACTTGCTTTATAGATTCCTGGGGGTCTTTTTAACATAGATGGTTTTGATTGTAATAAATTAGACTGATAAACCATTTCTTGCTTACCTTATCAGCAAAATTTCCAAAGTGTGATGATATCCTAGTCAGTAAGGCTGTGGAGAAGCAGTCATTCTCCAACACTGCTGGTGGGGGGTGATGCAGCGCTGGTTCTGTGGAGGTCATTTTGGAGAAATCTATAAAAATGACAAATGCATTTAGTGTTTGAACCAGCAATCCCACTCCTGGGAATTTATGCTGCAGGTACTTAAGATCAAGGGTGTGTATCACAACATTGTTGGTGAGAACCAAAGAGAGCATTCCTCTGTAGGACACTAGTTAAAAACAAAAGCAAACTAGCAAAATCTATTGAATGTCTATGTACTGAAATGGATAAAATAGAGAGGAGACCCATTATGATTATCACTATTATTTTTTAGAGACAGAGACTTGCTCTGTCTCTCAGACTGGGGCAAAGTGGCATGGTCATAGCCCATTGCAGCCTCAAACTTCTGGGCTCAAACAATCCTGCCTTCAACCTGCAGAGCACTGGGATTCCAGGTGTAAGCCACCATGCCTGGCCCGTGGGATAGTTATTCTTGAATATATGCAAGATCTAGCATGTGAGAAAAAGCAAGGGGCATGGCAGTATTTATAGGATGTTGCTTTCGTGTATGAAAGGAGAAAATGTAAGGTTCTATATGTTTATATTGCTTATATTTGCATGAAAAAGCAATGAAGGACACATTAGAAACTATTAAAGTGGTTACTTGCGAGGGAGTGGAGTGCTCAGCATGGGAGTGAAGCCATTAAATGAATCCTCTTCTATTACTTTGATTGTTAAGCCATCTGAATGTATTGCCTGGTAAAAACTTAAGCAGATGGTTTATAAACAGACCCTATTTTGTAAGCAAGAATAGTGGTAGGGACACAAATGTATCAGGAATCAGTAGAGGACAGAACCAAGGAGTCCTTGTGCTTTTGTAAATCAGGATGCAAAAGACAAGACATCATCCCATCCTATCCGCACCCCACAATGTTCATCGCTCACCTCTTGATAAGAGCAGTGCTTTCTACCTGGCAGTCACTCAATGTGTAGGATGAGCCCCTTTCTGAATAGGGGAGTCCCAGTGTGTGCCTGTTTGCTTCTTTACTTAATAGCTGTCTCTTTCGCTCTCCAAAGTGACCCTATTTGAATAACAAATTATTTTGTCACCTTATCAATATGTCACAGAACTGCTCTCTAGCTAATGCAAGGAGATGAAATGTATTCCAAGAATCTGAATGACTTTATCAAGAAGGAGATTTTTTGTCTCATGTGATTTCTTGTCTCAAGAATTTGCCTATGGCAATTCTGATTTATGCTTGTTAATTAATAATTGTAATGATTACTAATAGCACTCCTACTCATTTTGACAAGTGCCTTGGGTTGGACAGCAAGTTGTATGGTTATTGTAGTCAGACATCAAGTCCAGATAGATTCAGTGCTCATATGAGGTCATTAGGACCTCTTGGTATGGTTGTCACTCTTTTTTTTTTTTTTTTTTTTTTTTTTGAGATGGAGTCTTGCTCTGTCACCCAGGCTGGAGTGCAGTGGCACAATCTTGGCTCACTGCAAGCTCCACCTCCCAGGTTCACACCATTCTCCTCCCTCGGCCTCCCGAGTAGCTGGGACTACAGGTGCCCGCCACCATACCTGGCTAATTTTTTTTGTATTTTTTTAGTAGAGATGGGGTTTCACCATGTTAGCCAGGATGGTCTCAATCTCCTGACCTCGTGATCCTCCCACCTCAGCCTCCCAAAGTGCTGGGATTATAGGCGTGAGCCACTGCGCCCCGCCGGCTGTCACTCTTAAAGACCTATTAGATTAAAGTGGCTCCAGTGTCCACATCCTCGAATCCACTGAAAGCCTCAAAGGGGAAGGGGGCTAGCTCCCACAAAAGATCTGGGATTGATTCTGATTAGATCACCTTCAGTGATACCCATGGCTGACCCAAACTAAATAATTGGGAAGAATGGAACGTTCTGATCTACTTAGATCAGAAAGATTTGGGTGGAGGAGCAGATATTCCAGGCTATACCCATTCCCTTGGGTATAGTCTGGAATATCTACAGTTTTTTCTAGGAGTGAACAAGACTCTGATGTGTCTTGACACCTAACAATGTCTATAAATTTTTACCCTACTACGTAAGCAAATCTCAACTCTAATGATTCTTCATGTTCCTTCCGACTCTTGATTTCATGATTCTATGATGCCTCTTGACACATACATGCAAAGGTTATCTGAGGGCTGACTTGTATCAATTTTAGAAAAATAGCAAGAAAATCTTCAGGGCTTAGCATAGATGCCAATAGGTTTCCCAGCAGGAGTAGCAAATAAAAATTATATATATTCAAAATTTGATGACAGGAAATTACTTCTGGGATGAGCTCTCTAGTTATTGAGTTCAAGGGAGTATTTGTTAGTATGGTGAAATGAAAATGATACATTATAATTGGACATTTTCCATGCAAATGGAAAAGTTGCAGAAATATCTGTCATCTCAGTTCAAAAAAGAACCCACCTAGAAAGAAGAAATTGGCACACTGCCACATCAGGAGGTGGTATGTTACGTGTAGTTGAAAATAAAGGTCAAGGTTTCTGAGGCTTGCTTTGGCTGAAAATTACAGAGACCCTTCCCTTCTCCCTCCCCCTTAAAAAACCTTGGAGGTTTATTTTCTTCTCACATTAAACAAGTCTAGAGGCAGTCTCTTCTGGCTTTTTACTTCTCTATCATTATTGTGGGCTCTGTCCTCATGATCTTAATATAGCTGCCGTAGCTCCAGCCAACATGACCAAGTTTCAGAAGACAGACAGTGACAAAGAGCACTTCATCAGCTCCTTTTAAAGGATATTCCTGAAAGTTCTATTTAGTAGCTTATGTTTAATAACCATTGGTTAGATCTGCATACCACTCCAGGATGAAAGAGCGCCTTGGAAATGTTTTTAGCTGGGTATTTAGGTTCTTGAAATACAAAATAAGTGTTCAGTTACAAATAAAGAAGGAAAGAAGGATATCTTTGTATTGGTTTTACACTCAGAGACCTACTGGGGGAAAGTGGCCCCAATGCCTACATCCTCACATCTACTGAGATTCTCAAAGCAGAAGAGGGCTTGTTTTCCAGGAGTTCCCACAAAAGAGTAGGCAGCTAGGCTTCTCTGACACAACCTAATTGTGTCTCTGTACACAGAGTTTTCTCTAAAATTGGGTAGTGCTTTTGACTTCTTTCTTCATCACTGATGCTCCATCTCTCTTCTTTTTTATTCTTTTTAATCTCCTATCTTCCATTAGAAGAAAACAAGAGATAGAATATATCCATGTCATACTTCTTTTCCTTTCTTTGTCTCCCATATGTATCAAATGGGTTCTGGGTTATAGAGACCTGTGGTCTCATCCCCAGTAAACACAA